TGTGTGTGTGTGTGTGTGTGTGTGTGTGTGTGTGTGTGTGTGTGTGTGTGTCTCACTCAAAGACTCCCCTGATAATCTACAAAGTCTTCATTAGGAGTTTGACAAGCCTGAGATAAAATTGGTAAAATTAGAGCTATCTTAAGGGTTAAGTTTTTTCTGAGAAGCTCTTTCAGCTTTTCAATTAGTTTCAGCTTGACACACATCATTCTAATGATTTCGAGTATTATCTGATAACAGCACATTTTCATTTTCCCTCTAACTTATTGTTGCATTTGACTTAAACACACAAAAAATGCATACTTCAAAAGCTTTGTCACATTTATATACTGAGAAATATGTACTTATTACAACAGTATGTAATGCATTTTGAGTAAAAACAGCACAGATAACATAATTTTTTTAAAATGTGTATTTTATAAAAATAAGCCTATGTCTAACACTTCATGTCTTCCTTTTTCATCTTTTTTTTATGAAAATATTGTATAAAGAGTAGAAATATATAGTAAAACGATGAACGAAATGCTGTATGTGTGAATTGGTGAATGCAGAAATATGGCATTGTAGAAATTAGGTGGGGTTTAAACGATGATTCAGTTTACTAAATCAATCTACAAAATAATGATGATCTTATCAGGTAATATAAATGAAGATACAACACAGTCACAATTGTTCTTTTGTATTTTTCATTTTACATTAAACAAACTGCAAAAAATCAGCCTTTAGTAATTTTTTAAAGGTGCTTCATAGTATAGAATCAAACATCAGGAGTTGTTTTACAAAAGGCTAAGACGCTCTACAGGCTGCTCTGTCTGTGGAAAGATGAGACGGAGAAGGAGGAGGAAAAGGAGGAGAAGAGGGGCAGATGGACAGCAGAATGTCTTGTCAGCGTATGATATGCCAGCCAGGATATCTAGCCTTTCAGAAAACAGGCCTCCTTTTGTAATAAAGCAGAGGACAAATCCTGTTATGGAACAGAGATGGTCTCATTGATGCTAGCAGCGGGGGCAGAGGGATTTAATACTGCTCTTCCATTATAAATCCAGTTTATAGTCAAATCCCCGCCTGGAGATAGCCACGTCTTGGCCCACCCCCTGCTTAGCCTTAATTACTGACAAGTAGGATTAAAACTTAGAGGGGAATGGAAACAGGCAGGGGGTAAGTCGAAATGCTGTGCATGTGGGTCTACACTGTGTGTGCAGCTGTAAGTCACAGTGAATGTGTCTATTGTATTTAACTCTCACCGGTAACTACAGGTAATCTGCGTAGAGGTTCATTGATTGCGTCTCTTTTGACTCAATATTTACCCTAAAGAACTAATGGGTCCATGTATAGTACAGTAAAATACACCACTGTGCACCGAAGCAGTATGTTACTTAATTATTTTTTTCCTTTTA